AACAATCAGGAAGATATTTAGTATACAAAGTCAGATGTTTGATGCAATGCTTAAGTATTGTGATAGTGTTGAATGAATGAATATGTTAATAAATTATTCTTATTAATAGACAATAGTATCGGATTGTTCCTTTGTGGCATCATTGGCTATTAGTGCAGCTTATGAAAGACGATTTAATAAGAAGTTGATTACCAGGTAAAATTTCGTATTTCTCCCCTTAACCCTTTTCATATAATTGTCTCTTAACTAGAAATTAAAAACTTAGGCCTTATCTGTGTAGAAAGTGGAAAGGGCATGTCACTCAGAATATTATGACCCTTCTGTAGAGGTTAAGCTGATGATTTATGACTGTGGAAAAATATGCTAGAACAGTCTAAAAACATATATGCACATGTAGTTAATATATATGGAATTAATGTTTTGACATAAATGAAATTGGTCAAAGTAAAATCATGTCATATTGATAATACTTCATATATGTAATAAGGTAGCCACTAGCCACGTACAGCTATTGAGCACTTGAAGTGGGTTATTCTGAATTAAGTTGGCCTACAAGGGTAAAATGTACATGAGATTTTGAAAACTTGCACCAAAAAAATGTAACATTGCGGACAGTCCATTTTTTTGTATTGGTTATATGTTGAAATCCTAATATTTTGGATATATTGGATTAAATTAAGTTATTAAAATTGATTTTACCTTTTCCTTTATGTGGCTGCTGGAAAATATAAAATAACATATTTCTGTTGGCTAGAACTGCTTTAGAATGTACTGAAATGTTTCTGAGATACTATTTCTTTCAGTTTTTAAAAGATACAGCAGCTTAAAATCATTGATTATAAAAATTATTAAGCACTATAATTTTTTTGCTCAAACATTTCCTGAGTGGCTTTTGTGTTAACTACTTTAGAGTATTCCTTTAGAGTACAAAGGTGAATTAGATACAGTCCTTAGTTTCAGCTATTTGCCATATAAGTAAATAATTTACAATATGTTTGATTTGGTCTAAATTTATTTAAAAGAAAATTGATACTGATAGTTGTTACAAGTATCTTATATAATTTTATGTAACCTTATTTCAGAGTTGCACCTAGTTGCCTTAGTTGTGGTTAGTCGAAGTGGTCTTCTCTTTACTTCTTGTGGCCAGTGGTAAAAGATTATTTTAACTGGCTTAAAATATATCCACTTAATGATTTATTAAAGTGTGTAATTAAAAATTGAGCATTTCTCAAAATATTGTGAAATTTATGCCCTAGTAGAAGATACTTATGTATTTATAGTAAATCACAGACTGGGATGAAATTCTTTTTCTAAGCCTATTAAAAGAAAATATTCTCCTGCTTATTTTTATGAAATTGCCAGGACAGTAGCATATGTCTAAATGAAATACCCTCTATAGTAGTTGATATTGAATACTAATGTCAGTATCTCCATTTTTATTTTCCTTACAAAAGCATAATTTACCCTCAGAATAAGGATGGTGAACCAGAGTACAATCCGTGTGGAAAATATATGGTAAAACTTCACCTCAATGGTGTCCCAAGAAAGGTGAATAATGTCTCTTCTCACCCCCACCCCTTCTCTCTCTGCCTTTCCCACCTTTGACTCTTGAGTGGAATCATTAAGAAATGTTATCTATGTAAACATTTTTAAAATCAGTTTAGTTGAATTTGAGTCTGTAATATATATTTCTGTCAGCATTGTAGATTAAAAATAAAAACATGACAAGCATAAAGT